CCTGATATAGCTTGTGCAATAAGTAAACTTAGTCGATTCACAAGTAATCCCAACAAACATCACTAGGTAGCAATGAAACGAGTTCTGGAATATTTGGAATATACCCAAGACTACGCTTTGCACTACAATAAATATCCTGCGGTTATCGAAGGATATAGTGATGCAAATTGGATAACCGGCTCAACAGAAACAAAGTCCACAAGTGGATATGTTTTTACTGTTGGTGGAGGAGCAGTATCTTGGAAGTCTTCCAAACAAACGTGCATCGCTCGCTCTACAATGGAATCAGAGTTTATAGCTTTGGATAAAGCCGGTGAAGAAGCTGAATGGCTTCGAAATTTCTTAGAAGACATTCCGTTCTGGCCAAAACCTTTGGCTCCTATTTGCATACATTGCGATAGTGAGGCTGCAATAGGACGGGCAGGGAGCGTTATGTATAACGGAAAGTCTCGTCATATACGACGAAGACATAACACCGTTAGACAACTACTTTCTAGTGGAATTATCACTATTGATTATGTAAGATCAAAGGATAATGTGGCGGATCCGCTTACAAAAGGCTTAACTAGAGAGGGAGTTGAGAAATCATCTAAGGGAATGAGACTATGGCCGAGGACAAGTCAACATGGCGGTAACTCTACCTAGAATTTTGGATGTTCCGAGATCTAGGTTCAAGGAGCTCAAACAAAGTTGTGATTGACCGGTTCAACATTGTCAAAATAAAATCTTTGGTTCATTCTCGTGATGAAGACAATGTTAAGTAACAAGGATAGAACTTTACACGTTCTTTAATGATTACCTAAGTTTGATGTGGTAGTTATCAAATAGTGTCAATCTAAAGGATTACACGTTTAGGAATCACCTATGTAAGTGTGAAGTGGAAGCCGCTTCAATGAGAATTCTGTAAGGCCAATTCTCTACGCACTTATGAGACCAGGCGGTGTTCATGGCTGAAACGAATACAACAATGAGAACTAAAAGACGGTTAAGGGTTGATTGTGTGACATATGGTTGTCTAGGTATACACTAAAGTTCGACGGTTCAAAGATATCAAATCTACCGATTGACCGAGTATATCCGACATATGTTCACTACGGAAAGTTCAAAGGGAAACCTACTTATCCAGATGCAATTAATCCTTACTTGCAAAATCACATAGCTTTCATCTATAATCTTTCTTGATACAGCCATTCCCATTCATGTGGGGGATTGTTGGACTTTAAGCCATTGGGCTTTAAAGTAGAAGAAGTGTGAATTGGAAATGGAGGGAAATAAAATGGAGGGAAATTGAAAATTTGAAGAAGTGAACTTTTGTCTTGCACTTTGTCCCTCATTGGTGAGGGACAACCACATTTGTGTGCTTATATATAGAATCACTTCTTAAAGCTCATAAAAGGAGTTGAAGAGAATGAACCCTCGCGCCGTCGTCGTCGCTCGCTCGGCTTCGGCTTCGGCTTCGGCTTCGGCTTCGGCTTCGGCTTCGGCTTCGGCTTCGGATTCGGATTTGGATTCGGATTTGTCAAATGATCGATAAGATTATTTTTTGGACAAAATTTATTTAATTATTTAATAATTAATTAAATGCCAAATCACTGTTGAAAATACGCCGGAACCCTGCTGCTGAAGGTTCAGAAAAGCCCCTCTGACCTCGGTTCTGCCGCGACCGCGGTTAGAGGAGCCTTCTGAACATGCATGGGTTCGGAATTCTAATCGTTTTAAGTTACTGGGTTCTAAATGAATAATTTATACATATTCACATGAATTTTTAAAGATAAATAAAGGGTTCGAACAAAGCTACTGGGATCGGCCGAACCCGCTCCCGGTATTCTAGCTCCGCTCCTATATATATGTAACTGTTACCTTATTCCATGCATGTTACGCTACAAACATGGATCCATGCATGCATATTTAATTTGTAGGTGCAGACGTTAGTAGAATTTTCTTGTGCTAGCTAGGCAGTAGTGTAGTTATAATTAATTAGAGTATATATGAGTATTAATTATATTATATGTTTTGCATGCATGCAGCTCATCTCATGACTTGGGCTCCAGTAAACGCAGTGCGAGAAATTGGTGAAGAATTAAGAGGAATGCAATTAGTATACCCTCATGATCTGAATGGTGTTACTTGTGGGAGACGATGCAACTACGACGAAGACTGCAATGATGGTTGGGTTTGCAGCAAATGTAGATGGGATGCTTTAACTAGTCACTACATCTGTGGTCCTTTCAATTCACTCCCCTCTGCACCAAAATATTAATATGTGATGCAATAAGTTGGTACGTTGCATGCATGCAATAATATTATATTATATTGCATGCTTTAAATAAATAAATAAATAAAAGTTCTAAATCTATGGCTAGCTGTGCGCTATTTTTAGCCCAGCTTGCTTGCCTGTTTGTGTGTTTGTAATGTTTCAAATAAAATTCTAGCTCCATGTATATGCTAGATTGTGTAAAATGGTTCTACTTTTCATCAGTGAAAGTAGAGTGGATGTTATATTTGTGTAATAATGTTGGTTGTGCGAATAAATATTTTGAAATGTGTTTTATTGATGGTCGGTACTCTATTCATCATGACTATTGTAATCTCAATGGAAATTTTGAATTAAAAGACTCGTTATTACATATATATATAAATTAACACTGAAAAGAATATACATGTGAGAGGTGCACATTACTGAGATTGACCAAGTGGATAACTATGGGTGCCAAATGGGCGGGTTGGGCTGAATTTGGGCGGGTCAAGATGGGCTATGTACCTTCGTCCCTGCATGCAGATGCGGAGCCAGGATTTGAAATTTATGGGTTTGGGATTTTAATCCTTTTAAGTTACTGGGTTCTAAATTAATAATTTATACATATTCAATAGTATTTAAAACAAATACATGGATTGGACCAAAGCGACTGGATTCGACCGAACCCATACTAGATGGGAGGACAAACATATTGAGTAGAAATTAAAATTCATATTGAGGTCGCGTCCACTATTGACGTGGGAATCTAACATTTTCCTGGACTCTTCTTCTTCGTCTCAAATTTTTTGTTAACTTGAGCAAACTTTCAACTGTCACCGAAGGAATTATGAGGTTAGACAAGATGGTATGTTTTTTCAGTTAGGCGCAAATTTTTTTAAACCTTAACCAAAACTTGTGTGATTGTGATATTTTTAACTATATATGTTTTCTAATTTCATTGTTAAGAAATTGTACATAGTGCTTTCGCCTAAATCTACAACTTCAGTCTGTAAAAATGGGAGAAATTCAAAAATAGTCAAATTTACAAGTAAGCTTTAAAAAGTAATCGAAATTTAGCCACAATTCATGTAAAGATATATCTGAACNAATTGGTTTCTAATTGATAGTTTCTATAGGGACTTTTAAGTGTAACAAAGAGTATATATAAAGAAAAAATTGGTATGACGTGAAATAATTTTTTTAAAAATGTAAACAAATTATTTCGAAAAAAATCTTTACTTTTTTTTTTAATTTCAAAGATAATAAAAAGATAAGATATTTTTGAACATTAGTAAAGAGTTTTAAAATTATTATACTAGAAGTTATATCATGGATAAACTCAAAAAACCGGAATCTTATGAAATATTTACATAATATCTGGCCATATTTATTTTTTACTTTTTATAGGCAATATAAATAGATGATATACCGACAACACACGATTATACACATATTATATATAAATTACGCATCATTCAGTTTTTTAATTTAAGTGGTCAGGTGAGCACCTATTTAGGCTCATTAGATAAAGCCAAAAGAAAAATATGAAATAATTTCAACCAAAGACTAAAAATATAATTAAATTTCATAGGTAGACAATTTTTATTAAAACTCATCCTTTTATAGTGAAATAANGTGTTGGAGTTCCAGCATAATATGCTGGAAGTTCATACACAGGTGCACCGATCTCCAGTATATTATGCTGGAACTTTCCGTGTTGCAGCAAAATAGTGGCTATTTTTCAATGACTTTGCAAACGGTGATTATTTTTAAATGACCAATCCGAAAACTGGCTAGCTCATGCTATTTTTACGTAAAAATAAGTAGTCAAAGTGAGAAAGGGGCTCATGTATAAATGGGCCATCCAAATTGCAAGTTAAAAGGGAGAAATTCAAAAATAGCCAGATTTACAAGTGGTCATTCAAAAATAGCCACAGTTTCAAAAGTCATCGAAATTTAGCCACTTTTCATGTAAAGATAAATCTGAACGAAAACACTGTTCACAATCCGGAAAATACTCCAGTATAATATACAGGAGTTCCAGAAAAGTATGCTGGAACTCTACTATATTATACTGGAGTCATCAAAGTATATCGGTCCAGCATAATATGTTGGAAGTTCATACACAGGTGCACCGAACTCCAGTATATATGTTGGACAAGTCTCTGTTGCAGCAAAATAGTGGCTATTTTTCAATGACTTGGCAAACGCTGGCTATTTTTGAATGACCAGTCCGAAAACTGGCTAGCCCGTATTATTTTTACATGTTAAAACCACTTGGCCCAACAGAGGCACGCATACTTGTTATTAGGGCATGCATTTTATTTTTTCAGTTCAATTGTATGCATGAATTTATAAATGCTAATTTCCTTTTCTCCCTTGTTTCTCTTTACAATACAGATGTTAGAGAATAAAAGGTAACAGAAAGTCACAAATTTAAGATGTTCTTTAAATCGACCAAATAATCTTTTCACACATTTCACATAATTGGTTTGTTCATTATCCAACTACCAACATACACTATAATATTTAAGAACTACACTAGTTAAGTAGTCATAGGGAAAGCAAGTTTTGACATAAATACCAAAGCCTTTAAAATTTTTGAAGTGCTCATAGAGAGATTTTAAAATCTAAAAGATATGAAGAAAGACTTGTGAAAGGAAAGAAATAGGAAGTGGACAAAAAGGAAAATATAAGAAAAAAAGGAAGAAGACAAAAAGAAAAGCATCATAAAACAGCACACATACAAGTGTACACACAAAGATTAAGAAGGCCAAAAAAGAAGCATTCATTTTTCAAGATGAGCTGAAATTAGGAATAATATGCCAAAAATTACATCATTTTCAGATTTTCTTTCCTCATCTTCTCTCTCTGCCACCAAAATAAAATCAAAAGTTTCTATCTTTTGCCCATCTTCAACTGCAACTATTTCCAAAAGAATTCCCAAAAATCTATCTGGCTCTGTCCATGTTTCCTCACTCTTATCTTCACCAGATTTTATTCTGAATCACTTTCCATGCTTCCCATAGCTTTTAATCCTCTTGGTTTCTGCACCAAAAATACATCATTATATGTTATTAATCTACAAATTTCTCAGTCAAGGGTAGAGCGCGCGCGGAAGAGGGAGGGGGGGGCATTATCCATCAAGTTTCGAACCATGCATGCTGGCCCTCGGAGATTTCTCAATTGTGAAAAAAAACACCTTTCTCGGGTGAAGAAGGGTAGAGCGGCCGCGCGCGGTGGGGGGCAATTATTCATCAAGTTTCGAACCATGCACGTTGGCCCTAGGAGATTTCTCAATTGTGAAAAAAAAAAAAAAAAAATTTCTCAGGTGAAGAAACAAAGAGAGCAAAAGCAGCAAGTGGAATACCTTCTTAGAGGTCTTCTTCTCCCTCACTTCATACCTTTCTTGGCACAAGTCTTGCAACCATGTCCCTGGTTGCACTAACTGCAGCACACAACAAAGACAAGTAGCTATTTTAGACTAGATTTACCATGGAAAGAATCAAGAAATATGTACTAAATGATAAAACTCTAATTCTTGGATCATATATATCTGAATTCGGAGTATGAGCGACTTACAAGTACTGTTCTTTGTATCAACTTGGCCCTCTTCTTAGGCCTTTGAGGAAGTTTGCAACCTTTCATAGCCATAAAATCTTCTTCTTTTTCTTTACTTGACAATGTGATAAGCAATTTTGGCCATACCATCTTTTTCTTTTCCTCCCTTGAATCAATGAACAACTTGCTAGTATCATCTACACCTACTGACCCTCTTGTCGTATAATATCGGTCCTCCTTCTCGGGGGATGACACTGATGTCTTACGATGCTCATTTGTGTTAGATCTATTCACACCTAGATCTCTGCAATAACAAGTAACCACCAAATTGTAGTACAATCTTTTACTTTTTGGGTAACCAAATCCAAGTATTTTTCTGTTTAAGAGATGAGAATCTTCAAAAAATCACAATGACAATAGCAATCCACGATTTAAGTATTGTAATAGCTTCACCAGAAACAAATTTGATTTGTTCTCAAGTATCATTACCAGCTCACAAATCACTGATGCTTTTCTAACTTCAGATCTAATGAGTTAACCAACCAACCCCAACCAAAACTAAAGACTATAACTTTTGAACTTCTTTTTCTTCTAATTTACAGGTAAGACATCAAATTGTAATTACCCCTCGCATAACAACAACAACAACGACCCAGTAAAATCCCAAAAGTGGGGTCTGGGGAGGGTAATGTGTATGCAGACCTTACCCCTACCCGAGGTGTATTTCCATAGGTATGTCAAAAAAAAACTAATTATTTCTTATACAATTGACCTATTAAAACCCTTATTCAATCAAAGAGAATGATTCTTTGCATCAAAATCTGGACATAAACTTAGGCAGATTCAATGAAATCTCTACCAATAGCATCTAAGAAACCAAAAAGTAGTCATAATCTGAAATAAAAATTAAATCTTTAACTCAAATGAGGCATAGTTCTGAATCAAAACACTGACACTATTTCCAGCACACATACATCAACAGCCAAAACAAACAAAATTCTTTTCTTTATTTATCTTTTTTCTAATTAATTACCTGTTAAGACGATGAGGAGAAGAAATAGGAGGAAGAAGAGTAGATTCCTTGGTATTATCAACAACTCGAGATGTGATTTTCTTCTTCACTACAACACCACCATCAGATTTCCCATTTGAAGTTGAATCTTTCACCTTAAAACACCTTAGTCTTTTTCTGTTTCCCCACTGTAACTTATCCATACCTTTTTTGTTCTATCTGCAACATCCAAAAAAATGAAAAAATAAGACAATATATAAATTCATTGACCAGAAATTGAAGAGAAACTAAACAAACAAAGAGACTGACCTCAAGATCTATGCTTAGATACTGTACCAGATTATCTCAAAAGACCCTGCATATAAATTAATGAAAACCCATTAAACAAAATCTCATGCAAGTACTGAAAAACACAAAGATTGAAACAAACAAAAAATAGTAAACATTACAAAGATATAAGCTTTCTTCTTCTCCCTTCTTCTTTTGCAGCAGAGAACTCCCAAAACTGGAAAAAATGAGATTTTTGATGAAAGATTCAATGATTTTCCTAAGACAATTCCAATAAACAGCCAAAGATCTTATCTTTTTCCACTAATATGAAATGGGGTTCTTGAATTTTTCTCAGAACAGGCGCAGTTTATTCTCTAGAGTGATATCTTTCTCTCTTTTTGCTACTCTCACCCCTTTTCCTTTCTTCCCACAGTTTTGTGGTTTTTGTATTTTTCTTTTTCTTTTTCTTTTTCTTTTTGGGCATATTTGAGTAGATTTAACTGAGGCAAATCTTGTCCATTTAATGTTGAATGGACGGCTAGATGAGTTTCCCTCCAATTGACTTTTGGGAGTCTGTGGAGAAAACACACGTGACACTCACGCTCACTCAAACCTTGTTGACAGTAAAATTCGGGAACCAGAAGATTAGGGAACTGATAAGAGAATTCCATTACGCTTTGAATTAGCATGGATTAAAGAGCCCAAATCAATCTTTGATAATGGGCTGGGCCTAAATTTTTTGTTGAACTTAGGGCTACGTTAGGAGAAAATGAAAATTGGGTTTAGGGTTTATTGGTTCATGCCCTAACTTAACGCTGATAGTATTTTCTCTTTGGTCATTATGGAGTTTCCAGTTTTTCGATGGCTGTTAATAAATGCTAAGATATTTTTGGCTCTGCCACCGCGACAAAGTACTACTAATTTTATCTTCGTTATTTTATAACAACAACAACATGTTTAGTGTAATCCGACAAAGCAGAATTGAGAGAGTAGAATATACGCAAACTTTACCCCTAACTTTGTGAAGATATAAAGATTGTTTCAATGACTTCGGTCCAAAGAAAAATAAAAAAGAGGCCTTCATTACCTTACAATATTAAAATATTATTGAGGTCTTACTGTAGTGTTCCCTGCTCAAAACACTATTCCGACTACTTATAGATATATTTTGTCTATTAACGTTTTTGGAACCCTTGATTATGGACTTGAATCTGTTAGTATGTAACATTTTTTTTTCAAAGTGAAATTACCTAATACATGAAAGAGTGAAAGGTACTTTCATTGTTTTGAAATAAGAAGCTCTTAATGCACGTATTTAATTTATTCAGAGTTATTAGATCGGAATCCACTTTTTGAGGAATTATGAGTTTAAGCAATAACAAAAATATCTCACTTAAAAAATCTATATATATATATATATATATATATATATATATATTAAAGCAAGAAAGTTACCATATATAATTGACATTATGGTTAAGCCAAGTGGCAAGCTAATAAATGTCAATAGTATATGGTAATTTATTTATATTTAGTTATATATATAAATACAACTCAATTCATTAGCTTTCTCTACTAAAGCTCTCGGCGCACGTTATGCTAACGGACGCCGTCTGAGAATCAGCCATGGCGAGAAGCGAGGTTGGCCTAGAAACACCACATCTGACGGTTGGTGAAGCTATCAGTGCAACAGTAATCGCAGACACCCGTAGCGCAAGGATCTATACAACANATTAAAACTCATCCTTTTACAGTGAAATAAATTAATTTTTTTGTAACAACAGAAATAATGACATAAAAAATAAGATAAAAGAAAATAAATATTGAAAAAAAATGTTAGAAAGATCTAAAAACGAGAAATAAAAGATGACAACAATGTTTTTTTTATGTTTCATCTTTGTTGAGTATAAAATTTTTGAAAGTTAATCTCATCGATTTCAAATATTTTTTTTTCAACTCAAATAAATAGATTATAAGATAAGGATATATTAGAATATTTTTTTTAACTCACATTATGTGTCATTTTTAAAAAACCACTATTACTAACAAACTGATATGAAATTCGAATTTGAATTGGAATGCAATTTGAGTAGTTTGCATTGAGGTTAAGCCAAGTATGGTGTCGAAAATAAACTACTTGACAATTTCAAGACAATATATGCAATATTTTATAATAATAACACTAATTTAACATTTAATGATTCAAAGAACAAAATTTTTGTATATATAGGGTATTAAAAATTTAAATTCTGGGGCTAGAGATATCGATAAACTTAAAGTGGAGTCATACTGAAATAAATCCGGCCAAAAAATAATTGAAATTTTTAGATAGCCGATTAAAGTGAATTTTAAATTAAGGATAATATCTTCACTTGCATCATTATAAAGATAATCGTTATTATAATATATATAAAGTTTTAGAAATTGGAATTTCATAATTGAAATAGTTTTTGAAAGATAAAATCATACCAAATAAGACTTCAAGTCGTAGTATAAGAGTCACGTCGTAATCAAAGAATCGTTTATATCGTGTCAACCTTTGTGCTTTGCCATAAATATGAGTTATTATTTCACATTGTGGCTATTTTAGGTTCCAATGACACCTATGAGAACATTGCAAAAATAAAATTATCACTACATGAATTGAGAAAATGTTAGTCTTTTTTCATGTAGTGTTTCTTAATTAATATCTGACGATTATCTATAATTATTTAGAAGGTTTAAATGTTAAGGTTATTTACATATAATTCAAATAACTCAGATATTTAACATGGTTAATGTCAAATATCAAAATGGAGTAAAAAATATTCACTAGCTAAAGAATTTTTTATATTTTTAGATAGCCAACTAAAATAAGTTTTGAATTATATATTTTCAATTACATTATTATAAAAATAATTATTATTGAAAAATAATATTTTAGAAACTGAAATTTTAAGAAGGAAATATCTTTTAAGAGATATCATTACACCAAATAAGAGTACAAGTAGCAGTAATAGAGTTAAGTCTTATCCAAAGAGTCATTCATTGTCTCAACATTTGATAGTTTTTCCATAATTATGAGTTATTATTTTGCTTCCTGACTATTTTTAGAATCCAATGACACTGGCAAGAATGGTATTAAAAAAGAAAATTAGAAGAAATGGTTAATTTTTTTCATGTAGTTAATATCCAATGATTATCTATATTTACTGAGAAAGTGTAAATTTTAAGATTATTAACATACAATTCAAATAATTTAAATATTTGATTAGTGTCCGCGCATCCACGCGGGTACTAATACTAGTATATGTTAAAGCAAGAAAGTTACCATATATAATTGACATTATGGTTAAGCCAAGTGGCAAGCTAATAAATGTCAATAGTATATGGTAATTTTATTTTATATTTTAGTTATATATATAAAATACAAACTCAATTCATTAGCTTTCTCTCTAAAAGCTCTCGGCGCACGTTATGCTAACGGACGCCGTCTGAGAATCAGCCATGGCGAGAAAGCGAGGTTGGCCTAGAAAACAACCACATCTGACGGTTGGTGAAGCTATCAGTGCAACAGTAATCGCAGACACCCTAGCGCAAGGATCTATACAACAAATAACAACACCAATCGGACACCAATTCCAACCTAATTCTCTGAAATTAGGATCTCCTAGCAATACTAATGGACTGGCGAAAAGGATAGATATCCGTGCTGTGCAGATGCATATGTCTTCATCTTCATGTGAAGGCTCCCCAGCAACAGCTATGGAGGCTAGGAAGGAACAAGCAACAACGACTGAGCTGAAAACCAATGGAACAGTAATAGCTGAGCAAAAGGATGAGCTGAAGCCACAAGCAGCACCGGAGAAAGAGAGAACATGGGCAAATCTTTTCGCTGGAAACAGATCATTAGAAAATGGTATGGTATTGTCTTACATCCCACCAGAAATTGTAGATGGCAATATTGTGGTTAAAGTAGATAAGGAAGAAATTGAGGAGCAGAATAAGAAATGGGAGTGTGCCCTAATTATCTATGTAATTGGGGATACACCAAGGTATAAATACATGGAGAAGTATATTACTCATACGTGGAGTAGAGTGAGTATACCAGATCTGTACTTGCATGATGAAGGATACTACATAGCTAAATTTGACACTATATGGGATATGAAAGACATTCTGTATGGAGGGCCTTATACCATTAATGGTAGACCTATGATATTGAAGCAATGGACACCTGATTTTGACATTAAGGCAGAGTTTCTGATGGAAATCCCTTTGTGGATCACTATCCCAAATCTGCCTATGAGCTACTGGGGCAACAAGACACTAGCAAATTAGCAAGTGCCATTGGGAAACCACTGTTTGCGGACGAATGTACCACTAAGCAGACTCGTATCTCGTATGCTAGAATTCTGGTAGAAGCTAATGTGACAAAATAGCTGCCAACGGAGTTAACAGTACAAGAGCCATCGGGGAATATGATGCAACTAAAGGTGGAATATGAATGGAAGCCCTAATACTGCATAAATTGCATGAAGATAGGACATGATTGTACTATGGAGAAGAAAATGAATAAAGAAAAACAATATAGAGAAAGACCAAAGCAGGGGAAAATTACCACGAGATGGCAAGTGAAAGGGCAAGGACAACAACAACAAGCAGACCTAAACAAGGGAGTAACCAACCTTGTGAGGCAGGAGAATCCAGTCACAAACAATGGAAATGCTGAGAAGGCACAGGCTACAAAGGATAAAGGGAAAGCAAAAGAAATGCAGCAGGTTGAACAAAGTGAAGAATGGCCAGCTCTGGTTAGCACTAGTGGCAGGACACTAGGGAATACTACAATAACCACAAAGAATGTATTTCAGGTATTGCAACAGGAAGATGGGAAAATGGAGGTAAATAGGCCACCTGATATGGGTGGTGGAATAATCATGCACCAATGACTTGGCTAATATGGAACATTAGGGGACTGAATAAGAGGCGTAAACAAAAGAAAATAAAGCAGTACATAAAAGAAAAACATTACTAAGTTGGCTGGCTTAGTTGAAACAAAGGTGAAAGAGGACAAAGCAGGGAGGGTGATCAGCAGAATAGCCCCTAATTGGAACAGGATAACTAATTATGAATATGCTATGAATGGAAGGGTTTGAATTATATGGGATGATCATACATATACAATACAGCCTCTAGACAAAAATGACCAATTCATCCACTGTTTGGTAACTGGGAAGCAAAATGGGATGTCCTGCTATCTAACAGTAGTGTATGGCCATAATGATGCAGATCAAAGAAGGAACCTATGGGAACACCTTAAAAGAATAGCTCAGAATACTACAGGACCTTGGCTGATTGGGGGAGATTTCAATGCTATCTTATATGCTCAAGATAGGCTCTCAAAAGTACCTGTGAAAAGTGCAGACATAAAGGAATTTGGTGAATGCTGTCATGACATTGGAGTTACAGAATTGCCATGGAAATGTGACTATTT